AATTTTTATCACCTACGCCATATAAAAATCACAAACCCTTTTAACGTTCCACAGCAAAATCAGAAAACTTTAATAGGGTGTAGGTATTTTTTTTGGAAGCAGGCAAGATAAAAAATTAGCACCGCCTTCACCAGGAATCGAACCACGGACCTCTGGAATACCGCGCCAGCGTGCAGAACCACTATACCATGAAGCCACGCTAGGAAGGCGGGAGAAATACCTTATAAAGGCATGTTTAAAATTTCCCGAACAGTTTTAAGTCTTTTCTCAGTTTATCAAATTAATGTTCAGTTTTTCTTTGTGAGAAGACTCATCCAATTTTTTTCTTTTAACTTTTTATTTTTTCAACTTTGTTTACTAAACACTTTCTTTGCTACACAAAATTCAAAAACAGAATCACACAGTATTTATAAACAACATATCTTTTAGAGTTTTAGGTAGAGTTTTAAAGATTGCCCTACATTTTTAATAGTCATTATATATTTTTTTAAATAATACATGGAGATAACATTTGGTGCCAACATTCTGAATTGTTTTGCCATGTATATTTTCCTTTCGCTACATCCCGGCTTTAGAAATAGTGCATGTTGATACCTTGTCCCGAACTGACGTACCAAAAAGCCCCAGCTTAAATGGAGAAGAAATAGACGTTCATATAAGATTGTGTGCAGTAAGGTTGCACTCAAAATACACAGCGCGCTGAAATCTTTTCTAGAGGTTGAGAGTAGGGTAAAGGGTGTTTCACACCTTCTAACAGCTCTCCCTAGTGTTCCCCCTCGGAATTCTATCCGGGGTGCAAGATGTGTAAGGCCCGGTGATACTTATAATATGCCTAGATAGATGCATGGGTACTGGCCTTGTTTCAGCTTGCACCTCTTGATAACAATTTGGTGAAAATATCCTTTTATGTGTAAAGTGATATGGACGCAAAAGAAAGTGACGCATATTTAAGTCAATAGTTATGAAATTATAAGGAGAAGTAATGACGGTTTTTTAAATGGATTTAGGAAAACATTTCTTACAAAGCGTTTCGTTGGACAATGATAGATCCACTGTTTTGTGCAAACATTTCCCATTTTTCTCACATCTTCCTAATCGTATCGTTTAAGTAAATCTCAAGCTCCGATTAAAAAAACTGAGAGATTGCCTGATGGACGTAATAACGAGCATTAAATCTTTTGTGTTCGAGTAAATGCTGCAGATTTTAAAAAGTGGCGTTGTGATGAGGCTACATCCGTGAATTTGCTGGGTAAAGAGGGATTACGCAATTAAAATCTTGGATATTTTATTCGATCACTATTGCCTTAATTGGTCTAACATTGCTTTCCTGAAACACACCTCTCTTCTATTGATAAAGGCTGGGTGTCTGGTGAGCAAAGCTTAATGTAGATGCTCAACATAATATCAGAATAGTTCGAAATTGAAAGTCTAGTTTTTTCCAAAAAGCTTCGAGAGAGTCCAAACTCTGTTCCTTACACCATTAAACTTTTAAATTAATTAAATTGAGCCGTTAATAATTGCCTTTAATTTCGAAGATATCCAACACCGAATCAAACAGCACATAACATCGATCCCAATATGTTCTGACGTTCTGAGGTTACTCGTTTTTGAGTTATGCGAGATACGTACATATGTACGTATGAACATACGTACGAGGGCAATTCCAAAAAAAAAGTCTCCTATTTTTTGAGGACGTAGAGAAAGTTTTAATACGGTTGTTGGCAACACTGTTGTGAGTGGTGCCTTCTCCGCTACCACATAAACACGCAGGCACTTCACTCGGATGCTCAGTCTTGGCTTGGCAGCTATTCGAAATGGAGCTCCCGATAAACGTTACCGCCAAGTGCGAAGTGCGCGCAGTTATTCGATTTTGAACGCAAAAGGCGTTAAACCAGTGTAAATTCACCGCCTATTGACGGAAGTGTATGGACAGTCGTGCATGGATGTCAAAAGCTTTCGCAAGTGGTGTAGAGAGTTTACAGCCGGTCGTACTGAAATTCATGACGAAGAAAAGAGCGGGAGGCCGTCAATTGCCGACGAGACACGATTGTTGAGTTCGTATTCTTTGAGTTTCGCGATTGTTGAGTTCGTAAAATGCGTAAAGATCGGAGGATCATCTGGATGCTCCTGAAGTTCCTCAACACTTCCTGAAGAGCATGGCGGCAAGCTGGTATGACATGGGCACTGTAAAACTGCCACAGCGTCTACAAAAATGCATCGACCGAAATGGCGATTATGTTGAAAAATAAAGCATTCTTCAAACTTTAAAGTGATGTAGCAATTATAGAAAATAAACGGTTCTTTGTATATCAAAAAATATAGGAGACCTTTTTTTTGAGATTGCCCTCGTATGTATGAACAGACGCCACGAAAAATTCTCTTCAGAATTCATTTTAAATTAGTTTAAATTTCATTTTAAATATTTTTTGGGGGAAAGAATCTTTTATTCTATCCGTACGTACAGATACCCCGCAAAAACTTCGTTAAATTGCATTCGATAGCGGTCAAAATGGATATTTTTGTTGAAATATGATGCCTGAAACTTTTCGCAATTACAGTATTTTTTTTACTTCGTACAAGGAAGTAAAAGGGGGGAGCACTCTTATTTTTACCATTTTTCCATCAGTGCTATATTACTTATGTAGATACTTTAAGAACAGCGATTTGTAAGCCCCATTTCTCATTTCCCAGTTATGCATTCTGGCCCTATTCAACCTCTGCAGTCCAGTTCAGAAAGCTCAATTTATGCGCTTCAAGTTTCTCCTGTTAATGAGATTGTGGGCACTTTCCACAGCATCAGACTTGCTTTATTAATGAATTGCTTGACCAAGTCCAGATATTTATCATCCAACTCGAGGAGAGTAAACATCCCAACTCTGTAGATATGAATCAATTATCTAGTTTAGCTTCTACTCCACACCATACATTTGGTGAATGAGAATTTCACTTCATGCATCATCAGAGCCAAACTCAAGCTCTCCATGGAAAATTGTACTTACATTAACATGATCCAGTGCGGCTCCCATTTCCTTTGCCCTGCCTATAAGCCAAGTCATAACTTTTATTGATATGAGATTTGTTTGTCAGAGAATTGGTTAGTTTCCGAGGTCTAACAAAGTACAATTTTATGGTAAAAATATAAGTGATATTTTAGTTATTTTAGTTTATGTATCTGAGCATGTTAATTCATTTGTTTTACTATTAGGACATAGAAAATTGTACGCACGGAAACGAAATGGAATTTCTAAAATTAAAAATTCTACGAAAGCTCAGCGCGCGGATTTAAAGCATCATAAGATTAGTTACAGTAACAGGTTAAGTTAGGTCATCTGATAATGACGAAGTCTTTAGAATACTCTGTTTAAGAGGAGGGATATTTTCGTGGAGGACTTTCTGAAAGAAACTGGCTCTTAGCTACACATGGAGGAAACCACGAAAGTCAAACATGCAGTCAGCTCGTGCGCCTGGGATCGAACACAAAGCAGATCGAGCAATCAGCTCTGTTAGCTACTCAGACACTGGTGGGACAGTTAAAATAAAATTTGTCACATTTTTGTGATGAAAAAAATTAGGAATATATTTAAATATTTAAGTGTTAAAATACCAAAAAAAAACCAAGATAGTAAGTTTTAAAAAGGAAAAATAACATGTAAAAGTTTATTTCAAATAATATAAATACTTAAAAAATAATTTTTCGTATATACAAATAGTCCAATTTTCAAGCAATATCCAAAGTACTCACCCTGAAATTTTAAATATTTACCGTAATAATAATTGGCTGTTGACCAGGGCTGTTGAACTGTGAACTCATCTGGCCGAATAGCGTTTAAATATGTTCTTAAACTCAGCATGAAGCTTTTAGGGGAACAGTTTATATTTGATCGTTTTAATTTCTGTCTGGTTAATGTTTCTGCGTGTAAGTTTAGTAAAATAACGTGTAGCTTATACGGTATAATATATTGATACGATTTTCTGATGTGGCAGTATTGTTTTAAGCTGACCATATGGTTTGTTGGTGGTTGATGTCGTGTCTTTTGAGAAGTCAAAAGGATCCATGCGTGGAAATCCACTACTTCTGCCAGTTCCACTATCTTTTGACTATAAAACACAGCTCAATCCGGGAAGAAAATTTCCTCAAGCATTCTAGATCCAAAAAATGGCATCTCATGGAAAAATGGTTGCCATTGCCTCAAGAGTTTGGCCTTCTGCCTGCTGGTCAGCGGAAGGTATTTCATTTCCCTTCTATCACTCGAAGGACGCATTCTCTTATTCGCCACCTTGGAGACGCGCTCTCTAGGGGTTACAAGATGACCATTTCCAAAGCTTCTTATGGTTTCCGAGAAATAAACTCTATTATTCGTAAAATAATATACTATAAGACGAACATTCCTTAACCTAACCAAAATCGTCAAATATAAATTACGACAGCTACCAAAATGTCTTATTTCACTATAAAGTTAAAATATTAAATACGCTAAATAAATTAAAGGAAAGCATTTGTATACTGAACAATAGCATCAAACTTAACTAGGTAAACAAATAATGATTAACTGTTTTTGAGATTTCGTTCCATAATACTGAGATTAAGCCTTCGGATAAGCCAAACCTTGTGAACTGCAAGATTTCAATAAATGTGAATGCATGCCAATACAGAACAGGGAACATCTATTTCTCTGAATGCTAAATCTTTGATTAAAGGCGGGGATAAAAGAGATTATCTATTAGAATGTCAGCAGTATAATAAACGTAAAATTGTAACTACATTTCTGTAAGTTATTTATTTCTGTAAGTTATTCTGCAATTTATTTAGAATACCTTGGTGTGAAATTCTGAAACTGCTCAGAACTCACAAAAACTAATCAGATTCTTTTACAAAATTTTAATTTAGTGAGTTTATTTCAAATTCAGTCAGAAAAATAGAGTTTAAAAAGAAATTTATTGCAAATAAATATTTTTTTAATATTATGAATAAATAAATGACCATTAAAAATGTAACTTACTGAAATTGGACTTTAAAAGACGATCTGGGCATGTATGTGTAACATTTCGCGCATGTTTTCAGCTTGTATTGATCGTAAGAAAGAGGAACTCTGCTTTCTGTTCTACAAGTCATTCGTTGTTTCGAGATGCTTTCTTCTGAAGTAACGTTTTCTTCGCAACAAAACATCAGGGCCTGCAAAAGAAATAAACTTTTTAATCCAAGAACCACATTAAGCCCCCTCTACACACTCACAGGCCGATGCTCTTCCTCAAATACAAAGTATGACCGCGTTTATAACCGGAATTTATGTTAGTAAAATATTACAGAATCAATTCGTTTTATGAAATTTGTGATGAAGAAATATGTGAAGGAGAATTCTTTATATGTATAAGTTTCTGGATTTATTATAGCAAAAACTCTCGAGCCCAGTTTACATCTTTTTGTAATTTCTTTAAAAGAAGCGAAACTGTTGATTCAAAAATATGATACAAATTAAGCTAGAAAATACAAAAGTGCTGCAAAGATATTTTATATAAATTTCACAATTTCCTGGCATAGACTCTATATGTTTGAGATACGTATCTACCAGTAGAAAATAATTATTACTTTTGTTGAAGAGAATGAGATACATATTTCCTTGAAATTATTGGAATTCAGAAGTTATAGCTATCCTCACTTAGTTCTATATTTGTCCATTAATTATAGTTGGAACTAATAATTTTAATAATAGTACATTATCCTTCTCCCGTTTTACTTTCAAATTACCGAAGCTGAAACGTTACGTGTTATGCTCTCTTTCTTCCGCTTTGTTTTTCAAATTATTGAAACTAAGAAGTTACTTGGTATGCTTGCTTTCTCTTACATTGCTTTTAAATTTTTTAAACTAACGTTACGTATTATGCTCTCTTTCTTCTGCTTTGTTTTTCAAATTATTGAAGCTAAGAAGTTACCTGTTATGCTTTCTCTCTTCTATGTCGGCTTAGACTCTAGATGTATAGATGTCTCTTTCTCTATTTCGGCAAATCATTCAGACCAAGAAGCTATCTAATATGCTCTCTTTCCCTTACATTTGGTTTTAAATTTTTGAAACTAAGACGTTACGTATTATGTTCCCTGTCTTCTGTTGCTTTCAAATTATTGAAACTAAAAAGTTACTTTTACTATGCTTTCTTTCTTCTATTTTGCTTTCAAACTATTGAAACTAAGACGTTACGCACTATGCTTTCTCCATTCTATTTTAATAAAGAGTCTAAAGCAATTATTCATTGTGTCTGAAGATTTTGAAGGATATTTACAAATTCGTATGAAAATGACAAATACGCCAGCTATATTAATTTAGGGTTCTGTGTGTTGAAAAGGTATTAGCTGCTTTCATTTAAGCTCGAGTAACTGCACACACGCAGAGCATGAATATAAAATGCTTTAATTTGCTATTTTCTGCCATCATCATTAAATTAAAATTAAACTCAACGCAGTTTCAAAGAGACACGAATGTAAGATTAAATTGCATTTCATGCAAAGGTTACATGTCTGAAAGAAGGGATGTTTTTGGAAAGACCTTAATATCATAAGCAAACTCGTATCACCTTACATATAAGATGAACCCAAAAATACCCTATGCTACCCAACCATTAGCCGGGATTTTAACCAGTTTAAATTATCAGTATTCGTTGATTTTATGCTTCGGTAGTTGATGAGCAGAAATGGAGACGATATGGCTCAAGTGTTATTATCCATCAAATAGTAAACTAATACTCTGAACAGACAATGAGGTATCTTGGAGTGAAAAATACAAGAAATCAGCTATACTGTCACTGAAATCGAAAACAAGGATATCTCATTTGCAAGCTTAATGTGCTTATCAGCAGCAGTTGTGGGCTAATGATAATTAGGATTGGTGTAGCTATAGAAATATAGTACACTACTAAACTTATTATTCAGAGTTACGAAGGACACAGATGTTTCTATAATAGAATGTGATTGTATTCCATTTTTTTACTACCATTATATGTGCTATTTAAATTAAAGTTTGTTTCATTGTATTTCTTCATTTAGTAAAGCCTGGCTTACCTCCAGGCAATCTCTGTAAGTATTGTCAAAGTTACGTACATAGATATTCCTAATACTTTTAATGATTTTTTTTCTTTAATCAATTATGAGAAAGCACACGGAGGTTACCAAATAAGTGACTTCCTTGAATTGTAAAAGTTAGTTGAGTACGCGTAATAGTTTATTGGTTGCTTGCGTAACTATAAATTGTTTTATTCCCCGTGCAGTGCAGCTCGTGACGAATATTATGAGAAAGCTAAGCCGGAAAACTTAAAAATACAAGAGCACGTGCATTTAACATTTAATAAATAAATTTAACATCTATATATAATAGAATTCGGAAATATGCAACCGGCAACGATGAAAAATAAATAAAATGAAATAAATATATATCTTTATTATATGCGACTAAGTGTCTGTTTGTCGCCGATAGTTTATTGGTTGCTTGCATAACTGCCAGTGAAGTGAAGTTGCCACGGCACAGGGTTGCCGTTTCAATTGAGACGCAGACAATTCCCTGTAAAACTTTCCTTCGCTATGACCATCTATAAGTCTCAGGGCCAAACGCTTAAGGATGTTGGCATTTTTTCAGCTAAGCCTGCATTTGGACACGGTCAACATTATGTTGTCTCTTCAAGAGTTCGTGGAAGAACGGAGGTAAAATTAAAAATGATGGATGGTCCTCTGCAAGGCGAGTTTAAAAATGATGGAAAGATCTACACAAGAAATGTTGTGTACAAGGGATCTTTGAATGTGAATTAACATTTTATTTTTTAAATCACTTATTTATTGAGCTAGCGGGGCTCTTAAGAAAATATACCGAAGGGTTTCCTTCATTGCATCTCTTAAGCAAATTTTAAAAACATGTAGAAAGGGGAAACCCCTTGGGGCAGTAAGCAAAGGGGTGTCCTCACTGCCTGCCCTGGGTAATTCAGTTTGAATTAGCAGACACCTTTCCACAAGTCATTTTAATTACAATTTATAATATCTAGAACAGCAGTGATTTCGTATGACCGCCAGGCTTTCTAAGTAACATTATAAGTGCTGAATGCACATAATAATTATTTTAAATGTTTGTATATGGATTAGGATTTGTGCCTTACCTTTTGCGGTATGCTAAGGCATTTACATCATATTTTTAAGTATTAAAACATTTTTTTAAGTAACATTACGTTTCCATAAATCTACTATGACTTCAATGAATTCGAGTTTCTGAACTTCTAAAATCTGAACTTTGAACTTGTGTACTTCGAGTCTTGCAATATTTTCTGTACCTATCTATATGTGCTATGAGGTAAAAAATATTTTAAAAGATTTTACTATCGTAATTTTTCTGGTTTTATTTGATTAAATTACATGAAAGCTTTAATATTGATAATCATTTAAGTTGCGGAGTTCTTCACTTTTTTGTACGAAAAAAAAAATGTTGAAGAATCTAGTGAACGGTTAAGCGACTTATCGCTGAGTTCAGATAACAAAAGACGTAGACTCAAGAAGGGTTAACTACCCTTTATTTCACTCTAAATAAGATGAACGGTAGGTCCCTTTCTTCGGGCTTACAACAACAAAGCCTCCACTCGGGCTTGAAATCAAAATATGAAATAAGAATTAACTATGACTAACTAAGAGACTTAGTCGAAGCTATCACAAATCTAATTTAGTCGGCTCTTAATCTAAACTAGAAAGCGAATATCAAATTCAAGTAATGTGCGGCCGAGCGTAACAGCTTTAAGGAAGATTTATCCGGCAGACAAACGCGCGCTACGGATTCCTAGCTCTCTCTCACGAAGTAATTTGAACCTTCCTTAAATACTACTTCTAACTCATACGCATGCAATGCGATTCTAAAAACTCATTCTGGTAGAGATTTATAAGTGGAAACAAGAACTGATAAAAAAGTATCTTTAAAATTAAAATAACTGTTATAAAATTAATATATACCTTACAAAATAATTAACATCCGTCAAAAATTCAGATTGCTTGAAGTACAGATGATAGCTGATCTCATAACTTGTCTGAAATTCCACGCAATAAGTTATCAAGTTCAGTGTTCCTCCTTACTTGCTTGGGGAACATTTAAATGACCTGACTCGGAACAGGGAGCTTACTAAAGCTATGTTCAATAAATGTGGGAAGTAGACAAGATACACAGGAAGGGATACGAAACCTTATTTTTCTCTCTTTACAATGATTTCCGGACTTCGGATACAGAGGACAACACTTGTGGCTGAACTACGTCAGATATTTACGAATATAAAAATATTAACTAAATTCTAACTGAAAACTTTGGATTAATAAAAAGTGTCTACTTGAAGATTGGCCGTATATAAAGAAAAGGCCGTATGTAGTACAGAGAACTGTTAACACACGATACGTTTAAAATTATCAAGAGGATTAAACCTCTGGCCTTGAAGGCAAACAGCAACTGCGTAACTTCTAAGGCAATCGAGTAAAACTACAATGGCAAGCGGCCCGCTCCTAATCACTCCTTCCTCTCTCTCGCTTGGCAAAAAGCCACAACTTAAGTACTTAGCGTTCGCAAGACAAATTTGCATAAATAAGTTAAAGCTTTTAATTCTGGCCGGAAGTAGAAAAATAAGAAGTGATAGTAAAGATTTAAAATAAAATAAACGTTAGTAAAACTTGAGATCCTCACAAAGTTAATGCTTAATGACTGTTATGAGAGTTATGCCATACTTTCACTTTTATATGGTCTCAGAGCAAGAAACGCAATCATTTAGTGAATAGCAGTATACAGATTTATTACTTAACGATCTTAAATATTCATTTTAATTATGAATGAATGCAGAAGGTGATGCATAGTTAGCATGAAATTTTGAACAGAAGATATAAAAAAAAAATTGTAGTGTATGAAATTGCACTGTTTTAATTACAGGCTAGACTAATTTAATAATGTGCATTTAGGTGCACCCTGTCGAACCTTGCATAGCGTAATTGCGTTCCCAGAAACTTAGTTAAAGAAAAGTATCGCAAAATCCCGCACGTGCTCTCGAGATGTATGCACTTGTCTTGTCCAACTAGCAAATGGGAGGAATCCTGCGAGATCGCTGTTGACTTTTCACGTTTTGTAGACAGAAATCCTAGTAACATACGTGTATAATAACAGCCATCTGCTCGAAGTT